CTTTTGTATATTTATTCTCAGTGCTTTCTAGTTGTTTTGTTTTCGAATTCCGAGGACGGAATTCTTTTAAGGTGGGTAGACTGTAACGCCCCGAACAGTTAATAAATAAAATCAATTCACTTGCTCGACATTAAAGTGAACACTAAAGTTGTTCGATTCAGTAGTTCTAAGTGAATTATTACATGAATTATGTGGGTATATTTGTATTTATATTGAATTATGTGCTCATGTATGTTAGTTTATAAGTTCGAAATTTTCATTCGTGCCAAATCGTCGATTCTCTCGTGCTGAACTCTAACCGTGCGTTCGCCCGAGCATCGAGGACCTTAGCGATCTTAGGGCGTATGAGTTCAGTTATGTTATCCATGTTAATTCCATTTTCGGTCATAAAGATTAAGTCCAAGCCAAGCATTAGACTCGCGAGATCCCTAGCCGCGCGCGCCTTCCACCGAGTCTTAGTCGAACCCTTTGAGACCCTAGCCATCCTACCTCATTAGTCTTGGTCCCATACTCATGAAGGCTGAGTTTTAGGTGTTAATTGATGTCTAATTAAGCTTAATTTGGAGTTAAGAAAGATTTGAGCAAGTTTAACATTCCTTATTCATAAGCTAGTGCATCACGGGCATGAATTGTTTAATGTGAGTGTGTAAGGTCTTGTTCCCCATCATTCTTAGTGCCATGACCTGAATTCTCCAGCCCTTTTCAGTCCAATTTCGTGCTCCATGAGACCATAGTGCCCCACTTTCACTCAATCATGCAAAGAATCATGCATTGGAAATGAGTTGGTGCAAGTTTTGTCTCCCACTTTGTCTCCATTGCGAGCCTTGTTTGTAACGCCCAAGGACCAGCTTATAAGGCCTACATTCAGCTCCTAGAAGACTTCACTTGATTCCCCAACACTTAGTAAATACTAGAGCTTAAACTCCTTCAAAGCATCAAAACCTGAGAGTGAGTAATTTAGAGCAAGCAAAAATCCCGAGTGCACACTTGTGCTTAGTTTCAAGTTCTATGCATCAAACCTTCATCCCCTTAGCATAGTATCACTCTTAACTAATTATACACTCCCCATAGAAGTGTTTTGAGGCTTCAAGTTCAATAAAAGTCGAAGAGATTAAGCTCAAAGTCGAGAGCAAGAAGAGGAAGGCAACATTCGAGTATACCCGACTTCTTTTGCCATTTCTTTAAGATTAAGAGGTTGGTGTGCTCAAATCTTTCTAGAATTTTAATATAGATGAGATAAGGAGTAGAATGATATATATATGTGCCATACATGTTCAGTTTTTAAGTAGTTATAGGCATGCAAGAAGTTGAAGTCGTCCTAGCTCGCATGAGTGTTTCTTATGTGTTGTTTGCTTGCATTTTTGCTATGCTATGAAAAACCTGAGAAACTATGCTTTATATGGCTGTTTCTTGTGTAAAAGAAGAGTTCATAAGATCAAGA